AAAACCACAGAGGCGTCTTGTTCAGCGTGCTGTCAAACCTACACTAGCAAGGAGATCGGGCTGAAACTATAGCTACAAGCTATCCAAGGATGGTACTATAGAATGTCACCTCAAGGTAGGCCTAGTGGCGTCATCTCTTGGTTAGGCCGGAAACTTATCAATCCACCCTCGTATGTAGGTAGTATACCTGTACGCATTTTGGAGCAATCCACGCATAACGTCACGCTCTGACAAACTGGAGCATTTCAAATTCAAACTTCCTGTGAAGATCTTGAAATAGTATTTTCCACAATGAAAAATAATTTCAAACATTTAAGATCTCAATAATCTTAAGCTTATTAAATATCAGGCATGTTATGTCAAAGTAATACAAAACATGTAAGTGCAAATAACGACCAAATCATCCAGGTATTAGGTATTATTATTAGCTCTATAAATTGCATTATTGGACCCAGTAAATAAACTTTTATATTTATCGATGCATCTAACCCTTTTAGTTGTTCTGATCGGAAAATCTATAGGTGAAATCTTTGTTAGTTGATCATTTTGCCTTCAACTGTGTCTAATAATGTAAAATAATAAAGTGTAATAAAGGTTTCTGATAAAGGAATCAAATAAATGTGTTAAAGTAGTGTGAACATCATACGTTTTAACTGTAGGACTAACATATGGCATGTACCTGCCTATCAAAAGTAGATACACGAACAGAATACCTATCTCTAGAACTAGTACGATTGTAGAAGTTCCAACATATCGAGCATCTACAGCAATGGTGTAATACTAACAGCTAAATACCGATTTTTGAGGCCAGTGGGCATTCGATTCTATAGCCAAAGATTTAGTTTTTTCACGTTTTATGGTACATATTATATAGAACTTCCATTACGTCATGTTTATACTATCAGTAAGTCTACTGTAATGTTCNCACACTTGTACACTCCAGTGCCGCCATCTTCTCTTTTATGAACATGGTTGACATGTGTCGAGATAAAACTCCTAAACGAAACTCTTCATGATATATTAGTTCTTAGGCTTACACGGTCGGCGTATATAGATGCTGTGTTTTCTTCCTGGCGTTTTGGCTGTCGTCCGTGGAATGTTACTTATTTAATTAGTTCATCATCATCATCATAAGGTCATCAGTCGTAAGACTGGTTGGACACGTACCTCCACTCTTTCCTATCCTGAGCTAAACTTCTTATTTCCCTAAAACTAGAACAGCCCACATCCTTAACTAATTGGGAACAGTAATCTAATCTAGGTCTACCTCTACCCCTCCTAACTCCTATTTCTGTCTCTAATGTGTCTCTGACTAGACCTTCATGCCTGAGAAGGTGTCCTACCAACCTATCTCGCCTATTTTTTATTGACTTCCATAGAGTCCTCTGTTCTCCTATTCGTTCCA